AAAAAAAAAAAAAAAAAAGCTGGGAAGCCTACTGGTGTTTTTTAACGGAGGTACTTTACCGTGACAGTTAACTGTGAGGCACTGAATGTCAACACGTAACTGCGGCACTCAACTGTTACACTTAACTATGTGGCACTGAGTGGCGGAAGTTAAAAGTAGTGGCACTTTAACCGTGTGACATTTAACCGTGTGACATTTAACCGTGTGATATTTAACGGCGGCACTTAACTTTGACCTTACCTTCTTTGGGGATGGCTTGGCTGCTTCCGCCGAATACTTCGCAGCAACGAACTTTTCAAACCCTGAGTCTGCCGCAGAAGCGGGTTCATCAATAACGATACCCTGCAGCAACACAAATTTAACAAAAGGTCAAATAGGTATTCTGTTCTGAAAGGTACAAAAAGTGAATTCAAAACTTTTTTCAACTCGACAGCATCCAGGAAAAAAGAGAGCTTGAGCATATATATATATATATATATCGTCACAAACAGAACTGCCCGGTAAAACCGTAGGCAGAGAGAGAGAAGAGGACAACAAACTCCGACGAAACAGTTCTTTACAGCCCCTCGTTTGTTGTCCTCTTCTTCCTCCCTGCCTACGGTTTACCGGGCAGCTCTGTTGACGATATATATCGTCATACATATCTAGTCAAACAGAACTGCCCCGTAAACCGTAGTAGGCAGAGAGGGAGGGCAGGGAGAAGAGGACAACAAACGAGGGGCTGTGACAAACTGTTTCGTCAGGCTGAACCCTCAACAGTCTGCAGAATCACCTAACTGATTACATTACACTGTAAGTGATAATCCACCTTAACCGGGGCTGTGGTTGAGCATCATCGACTGGCCGACAACTGATACCCTGAGGTGGGCACCAACCACTGGCCTCAATATATATAGATATATATAGATATATATAGATCTGTTTGTGACGATATATATATAGATATATAGATATAGATATAGATATATCGACAATGAGGAAGGAAGAGTGGAGCCACTTTTGACAAGAAGTCCAGGTTCAGGTGAAGAATGATAAAATCATAAAAATAAATCAAGTTAAAAAAAAAACTGTCCTTCCTGAGACTCTTTCCAGTTGAGTATCAGATGAGAGTTCAGGGGAAGTGCCAGCTGAACAGCCTGAGGCACTCAAAATTACTTCTTCTTCTTCCTTTTCTTCTTCTTCTTCTTCTTCTTCTACAAGAGGGTGTGAGGCCCAAGGCACATACATGTGGCAGTTAGTGAACAGGTCATATGCTCAAATCCTGATGGACTCAAAATCATCAGATGATTAAAACAATGCTAGGCCCTGCAGTAGGGGCTATTGCCTTTACATTTTTAATTTTAAAATATAAAAATTGCAAACAAAGAAAACAAAGGAGAGAGTGCGAGGACAAAGAATACACCGAACTTTTGAAAGAGAGGGGAACCTTATATTTACTAATCAAGGAAAAAGAAAAATGATAGGCGGTGCACAGGTTCAACTCACCTCTGGAGGGTCAAATTTACAGCCCAGCTCGCTTAGCTTCGCATGTGATTCTGCGTAGTCGCGGAAGAAGGCTTCTTGATCCTCCGCATATTTTTCTGCATACGCCTGAACTCAACCAGAGGAGCAAAGAGGTTACAGGTACTTAGCTCTCCAATCATGTTTTTTTTTTCCTTCTTTTTTTCCGTGCTCAAGTATCAGTGTGACTTGCTGGCGGGTAACGGAACAGCACCGAGGACTGCATTTGGAGTCTCAATTCTGTAAATTTTTTTCATTTTAACTCACATTGGATGTGGCGCCGAAGAGAGGGGGGAGGGGGGGGAGGGGGCAGGGGGAGAAGGCGGGGGGGGGGGGGGGGAGGAAACTCTTATGGTGAGCACTTAGTCAATTTTAGATGTGTGTCATCCCGCCCTTCCCCCCCCCTCCCCGCCTTGCAAGTATCTGTGCCTTTCACGTGTGAGGGAGGAAGGGGGTGATGCAGGGGAACATCTCCTAGGGGAGAGGGATGGGCGGACGGCTTGGGGAGCACCGTTCGAGGTGTATGCAGCAGAAGCAGGTGGGAAGGGGCAGGATCCAGTTCAGGGGCGGGGGGGCGGTGGGGAGGGGAGATCGGAGGAACTACACAAGGTCATCATCCCTTCGGATTGGGTGGAAATCTGGAGGCAACAATCGCGTAGGACAGCCAGGCTTGTGGTCCCTGGAGGCTGGAGGGGTTATAGAAAAGGACAGAGGGGTTAGTGACTAGGCTTTTACTGAGTATGGGGTCCCCTTAAGGGCCTTAAGTCAAGATGGGAAATCTCTGGATTGACAGCAGTTGGGACGTCAAGAGCACCACCATACTCAGTAAAGTGATTCTAAAATCCCAGCCTCTACCCCCTCTGACTTAAGACTCTGGTTTGGGATGTAAGCCCTTCTACTCTCATCTTTCTACAAATACAGTTACTTCAAAAAAAAAAAAAAAAAAAAAAAGAGTTTGTGAACTTTGTGGCTATCACAGACTCAGTAGCTGCCAGTTCACAGGAGTGCTGACAAGTTAGAACTTAGAATCAAGGATAAAGCATTTTTCAAAATCAAAGGGATGAGTGGAGCAGGGTACCAAAAAAAAGAAAAAAAAAAAAAAAAACACAGAATGAAAGGCCTTCCACGATTCAGGCCCCCAAATTCGGGTCACAGGGTCAGAGGCCCTGGCCAAGAAAGGCCGAATTACTAATTAGTCAAATTCAGAAAAGTCACCGTGGTGTACCTCAGCAGTCCAGTCCAACAGGCACCCAGCAAACAGTCACATCTTACGGGCAAGAATCATAGGGGATGTCACATCTTAAGGGCAAGAATCACGTTTCATAATGGAAAGTCATATTGAAGAGTCACATCCCACCAGTCCTGTCAGTGGGATGCTGGACCCTATTTCCAGCAGGTGCCGCTCCCCACCAATAGATTGGAGCCATCTATCACTCGCGGCCTACCATTGGGGGATGCTCGTACCACCTCCAACGGTAGGTTCCCGCAAAAAAAAAAAAAAAAAAAAAAAAAAAAAAGGGAGTCACATCGCACGAGTAAAGGGGCAGTTGCACAGGCAAGAGTCGTGTCCCAGAGGCAGGAGTCACAGTCCACAGTCAAAACCATATGGCAGAATCGAAAAGTCACGACTGAAAGGCCCAAGCAGCAGCAGACCAATGGAAATTCGGGAAGGTTCCAGGCCTTGACGTTCGGAAGCAGACAGGCCGTGGGGATGTGGTACCGGAACTCAGTGAGGTCCCAAGAAGCAGAGGCTGGCATGAGTTGAAGTGCAATCCAAGAGACTACAAAAGGACTGGCGAGCCTCCCATTCGAGCTTTGCTCAATGCATTCGCATGAAAGGTGGAAGTGCTGGTGCACTTGTGCGCTAATGTGAGGAGCTGAGCGCTGAAGACAGAGTGCTGCGCTGAGAAAAAGGGAGAGAAAGCGCTGGCAGAGGGAAGGCAGCCATAGCTGCGCCAGTGCAGAGTGTTAGTGGTAGACTTCAGAGGGTTGGAAGCATATCAGTGGGTGTATTCACCCTTGAGTAGTAGATGTGTGAGTGCATGCAGGTAGGGAGAGAAGACACAGAGAGGTGGTAGACAGAGAGAAGATCGAGATAGAGAGAGAAGACAGAAGAGTTTAGGAAGAGAGACATACCTGAGTGAAGATACTGGATACTTGGGTTGCGCTGTTGAGCGCCTGTGACCGAAACTCTTAATTGTTTATATGATAATTTGTTGGAATTCTGAGCTGCGCTACTTGGTCTCCAGTGTGAATCCCGTGTGATCTCATACATGCATGTGGTGTGATTGTGTGCGCTCACTGGTGTTGAACTTTTTTTTTTTTTTTTTTTTTTTTTTT